AACTCCCAGGCCTCTGGTAGAGGACCCGAGATTGAGGAAGACACGTACCACCCGTAGGGGTGAGAGGGGAATAGCATACATAGCTTTTTTAGTTTGGTATCTGCCAAATTAGTGAAATAAATAGGGTTGGATTCATAGTTATTCAGGCCTCTGGTAGAGGACCCGAGATTGAGGAAGACACGTACCACCCGTAGGGGTGAGAGGGGAATAGCATACATAGCTTTTTTAGTTTGGTATCTGCCAAATTAGTGAAATAAATAGGGTTGGATTCATAGTTGTTGTAAGAATTGTTTGCTTTTATGGAGTTCTTATTGTCTGTTAACATAGATTCATGTTTAATGATGAAGCAGTTTTATAAATGCTACATCACACTGTAGTGATGGTATTTGTAATAGAGATTTTTCAGTTAACTGGAGTTATGATTTCTACTGATTCATAATCACACCCCCATTAAAAGGTCTTTTGTGTGGTTTTAGGAAATATAATGGGCACACTGGGATCCTGAATAATGATGATGATAATACTTAGCACTGTAATAATATTTAGGGATTCTTTTATTTCAGTACTATTCTAACATGTATCTTTTGTGCCGTTATTAATGACTAGTAGGCAAGGATTTTGAACTAGTAATGCTGCTCTTTATAAATCAGTATTACATTATAGCAAATTTGCATCCTTCCTTTCAATCTTTATATTTTTGGCTTTTTATTTTTGCAGGGTCATCTTGTATCTGTGGAAGCTTCAGAATGTAGACTTTCACCAATACTGCGCTCCCTTCCAACTAGAGAGAATCATCTCCAGGCTTTGAGAGAAACCGATGAATTTGATGTTCTTATCATAGGTGGAGGTGCCACAGGAAGTGGTTGTGCCTTAGATGCTGTTACAAGAGGTAAGTGATTCATGGAAAAATAGAAGTCACTTGTATGATATCTGGATATTCATATGTCCCAGAGTTATGAATATGTTAACAAAAAGTAAAATTCATTGCTTTTTCTTTTTCTCTTTTCTACTTTTCTTTTTACTTTATTTTTCATATGTATGGTAGTTGGTTTGTATTATTTAGTCTTTTTACATAGATTGTTGTTTGAATCATTTAAATTATATTTACAGGTTTTGGGAGGTTTTATTCATAGTACAGTGTTTAAAAAAGATTAACAGAGTTGGGATTTAATAGTTGCAGTTCTTTTATTGCATAATGCTACAAGAAGTCTTCTCATATTCTATCTCTTTCACACACATACCTTTGTCATTCAATCCAATATAACGCCTGTGACTGGCCTAAGGCATTTTAAAATGCTGTCTTGGATCGTGGTAGAGATAAGTTACTAATATCACAGTTCTCAGTTCTGAAAACTTAAGAGGCTCATGCCTTTTGATACTCCAGAAGCATAGTTTCTAAGCATGGAGAATTCAACAAAGTGCCTTTTGTTTAAAAGATGAAATGAATACAATTTGAGCATTTGAGATTATCTCTTTGACTTTCTAAGCTTTCTTCTATTCCGTTTATTTTTAATGTCACTGTCCAATATATCTATCTCATCTAAGCTGTGTGTGGTGCCTGCACTTTATGTTATGACCTATTTTGGGGCTGTTCCTTACTAAGCCTGTTTGCATTAAGTCCTAAAGAACTTCTGTCTTCCTAGTAGTGAATTGTCTGTTTGTAATTCCCATAATTCCTAACCAGCCAAAACTTATGTATAAAGGTAAGGATGACATTTCCCATGTTACAATAAAAAATGTTAATGCCGTAATAAATTATTTTCTCCTCCTCTGGTCATTTATTGATAAGGATAACTAGGCCTTGTTGAAAGGGCAAATGAGAAAGAGGAGGAAAGTCATTTCTGAATGAGAAAAATTAAATCAGGCATTGACTTTAGATCATGGGATCTAATTCTGCTTTACTGAAACCTCAAGATTTATCGGCTGATACAAATATTATGTATGGTGTATACAGAATCCCAAGTCCAGAGATTTATTTTGAGTATCAAATGTGAGGCACAGTTACCTCTTTTTTTTTTTTAATTAATGGAATCATATGTTTCACTAACCCAAGATGTAGGGTATTTGAGTTTGTTTGGTGTCTTGTGGAAACATCAGTTGTGATGTATTCAGTAAAGCATAGTTGAGCAAAACATAGCTTGGTGTGATGTGCAAACCCTTTTAAAAATTTCTGTTGTAAAATGAGAAAGGCAAATCTTCCTGAACTATTTCTGATTTTTACCAGTAGATTTTAGTCTACCTTTCTGCCTACTCCAACTCTGGATTATAATGGCTTATTTTAATTAGCTAGTAATCAAGTGTGTTTTTGGCCATGTGAAAAGTGTTGACACGAAGATTTGGAGAATAAAGTACAAACTATTATATTTTTAATTTCAAGTTTCATAATACATCCTATTTTTGCATACATAGTCTTTTTGTTAATAAAGTTAACAAAAGGCCTGGCTTCAACATTGCTTTTGGTTTTCCTTCACTCCTATTTAAGTTTTTAATTTGTTTCAAGTTCTGTATTTCCAATTCTGCTGAAGGGTTATCTGTGATAGCCACCAGTTTGAAATTATAGTGTATATCCCAAAATATGAGACCTAACGATTCTTGGTATTTTGTTTTATATCATTTCAGTTGCATTATTTCTGATCAGATTTTGGTAGATTTCAGAAAGAGGTCAAGTTTGGAAGTAGCTGTAATGAGAGTCTTATATGTAGTTAAGATACATTCTCTGGCAACTTCCTCTTACTTGTTTTTCCTATCCTGTATTTTGTTGCAGCTATGTGATGTTGGTATCACAATCAAATACAGCTTTTAAGTGTTTAGGATTGGCATATTGGATGATACAGCTATATAGGAAAACTAATGTTGAAGCCAATTTCTATTTATCGTTTTCTTAGTACATTTGTTGATTTGTATCAGTAGCTTTCTGAAGTGTGAAATAATCATAGGCATTTGGTTAATGAATTGTATATTGTTGCTCTTCATTCACGGGATTTGCTCTCATATTAAGTTTGATGCTTCACTTAGCAAATTCTGCTTTCTTTGTCTTTGATACGTTCTTGCCAAATTATTCCTGATTGTATCCATTAATCTTCAGTCACATTTGACAAAAATAAATTGCTATGATCTTCTAAAGTTACCAGGAATAATTAGTTTGTTTTTTTTTAAGGACATGAAAGTTTAGGGAGACCAAGAGAGGCTAATGTGGCCGTTTATACTATAATAAAGCACAGCAGAATCTTTAAGGTAATGAAGGCTAAAGGAGAGCGGAGAGATTTGATGGTCTGCACTTCCTCCTTGGATATGTAAAATCATGTTACTCACTCTTCCACACCCTCTGTGAGAATCTTGCTGTACTTGCTTTCATTCCTCCTCTTTTCTCCCTTGTGTGTTTTTGTTTGAGTGATTGCCACATGGAAAGTACATTGAGAGCCGTTGTGACACTAGCATGCTACTTTGTTAAGTTCTGAAAATAGCAGTCTAACATAGTGCATATTAGTTATGATTTCCCCCTTCCACTTAAAAGGGATTTCATTTCAGTTCCGTAGATGCTTATTTTATCTGAATTCATTTTGTGTATGAGTATATTTTACAAAACAGAGAAGGAATGGTGTACTGTGGTATGCCTATAGCTGATCAGCATCTCCTGATAATTCAGTTATTTCACAGTGCAGTAGATACGTATAAATGTAACATAGAAAATACTTGAGTTTAGTTATTACTATTAGTTCTTTTCTTACATTTATACTGTTTTATGTTCCAAATATGCCCAGTGGCTACACTGAACCTGGCAGCAGACAACTATTAAAGAAAATCAGAACTTGTTTCCTGGATTTTGATCCAATCAGCCTCTTGCAAATTTTGTCTCAGTTTGTTACCATGCCCTCTACGGATTTGCTAAGATAAATAATGAAGGATACGCTCTCTGAAAATGGTCATTTCAGTTTTAGACTACATATGGAAAGAAATACAAAGTTTGCTAAGTTACACACAAATTGCCACAGCTGGCCAAGTAACCCTTTTTCTCTGCACATACAAGATATACCTGTATCAAAGGGTTACTTGGCCAGCTGTGGCAATTTGTGTGTAACTTAGCAAACCTTGTATTGTAAATTATTCCACATGTGCACGTAGTTATTTAGCAAACTTTGAGGATTGTATCATTGTATTGCAAATCACTTTCACCTTTTGAGCCTTTATTTACATTCCTGCTTGGAACAATTAAGATAAAGAGAACAGCATGAACTTCTAATCTAATACCTGCTTGGGGGTTGGGAGTGAGCGGCTTCATGCTAGAAATAATATTTAACATAAAAATAATCTTAGCAAAGGATCAATTGTCTGAGTTCCCAAATTATTGACCAGATGTGTCATCAGACCATCCCCAGTTTGTTGTCTGCTTGGGGTCCTGTCTTACTTAAAAATAAACCTGGCCATGGGTCAACTGTCTGAAGTTGAGACCAAGTCACTGATACATTACTAAGCCATCTCCAGGTGTTAACTTTTATACTCTCTGTTCCTTAAGAAAAGTATAGAAAGGCAGGAAAAGCCCCCTAACACTTTGAACTTCAGCATAGACCTAAAGACCTGAGAGGTGGTCAATCTCCTGCCATTTCTTTGGGGTTTCTGCTAAGCTAAAGGATGTATATTATATAGTGGTATATCTTTTTCTCTGTAACTCTCTTAGTATTTATTCAGTAACATTCTTTTTAGCATTTCGCCCTAGTTTGAACCTAACTGTCTCTGAATCCTAAAGAACCTATTGGCTCCCAACTGGCCACCGGATGGCAACATACTCCCCCTGTTCAGGATTCAGGTATATAGCAACAGTGATGGTAATGACCACAGCTACGGCCATTCTCTAATTACTGTTCCCAGATTTCTTGCCTGAAAAGTATGATTGGAATTCTAGGACATTTATGACATTTCTGACTCGGTGTGAGTTATATGTCTCCTTATGACTGGATTTTCCACAGATGGCTTCTGGATGGAATTCATAATTAGCCTTTTGACTTGAAGAATTACAAAATGGGTAACTCCTTTTCTGCAGCAGAGTAGCCTAGACATAGGTAATTATACTAACTTCATAGCAAGTTGACAGCTGTCTTTGATATTCCTACCAAATGGGTGATTGAGAATCTGTACTTGCCACAACATAAATGTTAAGTGTGTATGTATGTGGTTGACCTTCAGTTGTTAGGTCAGGATGTGGGCTGGAATAAATTAACCTTAGTCAACTAATTTAAATATGGGACAAGCTATTTGGCAGGACATTTCTGAAATTTTGGAAGCGTTAATCCAGGTCTGCTTCCAAAATTTCAAAGTTTCAAGGAAATGTGTCAGAGTGTAGCAGAAGGGAGAAATGCTACTAATATCTTTTATTCCCTCTTCCTCCAATTTATGCATTCTCATTAGTTTTTGGAGGTTGCACTCATGCAGTTGGGTGATAGCAGAGCTTCTCTACTGGCTGAAGAAAAACAGTGCTGATGTATACATTTTTTATACTGCAGAAGATCAACAGGCTTTTCTCTTACTCAGACATTAGGTTCACAACTCCTTGTCTGCCATTCAAATCCCTCATGCTCCTTTTTTATTCAAACAGATGCACCATATTTTTGTTTTTTTTAAATTTTAATTAAAGACTTTTTTAATAAAGTAAAAATCATAAAAGAAAATAAAGATAATAAAAAATAGTAAATAGTAAAAGAAGAAAAGGAAAAGAAAGATTGCACCAGATTTTTGTTGAGAACAATCCTTTTATGGGTAGCTTCTGATTTAGGACTAAACTTGCTTTATTTGTGATGTTTATTCCAGACAGCTGAAAGTGACTATGGTGTTTTTAATTTTTGACGCTGACACCATCTCCTAGAACAAGAATCATACCCATCAAGTCCAAACTGACCACAAGAATCTGGAACACCTATAGATGTCTCACAAGTTCATTCAGTGCCAGTTTAAAGGATCACAATTATTTTAACTTTGATATCTGCTATGTCCCTAGTTTGCAGAACAAATAGGCTAATGTTCTATCATACAAGCCTGAATATGTTGTTACCTATGATCCACCTCCACCCTGTGACTTGACAACTTTGCTCCCCCACCTGTGCTGCTCTCAGTCTGGAATTCTGGCAATTGGAAGGGAGAGTCCTTCCCTAAGTTAGCAAATTCACACATAGCAGAAGTAGGACCATATATATATATAGATATAGACAGATGACCTTCATGGAGCTCCCAGTTCCTCCTCCCCTTTTCATGGGAGTGGGAAGAACTGTACCATAATGGGTCGTTGTATGTTCCTGCAGGATGATTCGTGCAGTGGTGCTATTTAATTTGGCCAGCTGGACATTTTGGAGTATTTAAGCCTGCTGAATTTTCTTGGCCTTATATTCAAGCATATGTCAAGGTCTGTGTTTTCTTCTTGCTGAACCTGTTGCCATGCCAAACCTCTAACGACCAAGTCAACTGGTCTGTTGCATCCCATCCCCACAGGGGCCTTGGAATACAGTTACCTTGGACTTTAGTACTGATGTGCCACCTGCCAAGATCCTGGGTGCCATCCTGGTTGTGTGTATCAATCTTTTTTCTAAGGTAGTGTTGGAGAAATATCCCTTGTGAAACAACCAATAAGTTGGAGACAGTTAACAAAGATAACATTATTCAATTAAAAAAGAATGATGGTTGTTGGTCAATTTTTTTCCCCTTTTTCCTTTCAAAAAAAGAAAAAAGGCACTTGGGTAGAAACAAGAGCAGAATATATATGCTTCCAGTATACATATTCATTTAATTTTCCTGTAATTAAAAAACAATAGCCAATCAAGGTTACATCATATACCCATTTGTTCTTTGAGAAGATTTCTCACATCTGCAGAGTGCATAATTTTTTTTTAGCTTGAGAGCAAGTAAGAACTGGTTTGGACCAGCTAGAAACTAAGGTGGTTGTGTAAACTCACTACACTTAGCTAGAGTTTACTTGAGAATATTTTATGAAGTTGTCTCCTGCTACTGTGTGCATATTTTGCTTTCTTCATAGTTTTTCCTTTATTCAAGCTCTTTCCACAAAAGCTTACTTTATCCCTTTTTATGGTATTCCATTCATTCCTGAGACATCTCATCTGTTTATTCATCATGTTTTCTAGCACTGAGGCATGCTCAACCATCTTATTTCAGATAGAGGTACCCAGTTCATGGCCCATTTCTGCAAAGCTCTTTTTCAATTCTTGGATGGTAACTTTTTCTCCATCATCTACAATCTGATGGGGAAACAAAGAATTCTGACCCACCTTGGAACAATATGTTCATTGCTGGGTAAACTACCAGGAAGATAACTGGCCTGAATTTTTGCATGTGACTGAACTCACCTATACTAATTCACTTCATTCCTCTGTTTGAATGCCATCATTTCAGGCCTTGAATTACTTCTTAATGAGCCTTTTGAGAACTGGCCTGGGAGTTGTCTGGTAGTAGTCTATGTTAAAGATTGAGATACCTGATTTGTCTAAAATCCAGATTTAGGTAATACACTTACTGGATCTTTGAAATGTTGCAAAAGACTATACAAACTTTCAGGTTCTCCAGAACTGTTAATTAGGCAAGATGTAACAGTAGAAAGAACTGAAAAAAAAGTCTGAAAATTAGGTCACTTGTTTCAGCAATGAGGTCTGCAGTTCAAAGTCAATCTCAAGGTGGTGATTGTGCATGTGAATGCATTAGTTAGAGGTAGATGTTATCAGTATCACATTACAATTTTCATTCAGGAGAAAAGATTAATTAGTTGCAGTCCCCTGAAAGCCAATGAACCCTCCATCTGTCTCCTGTTCAGGTTTTTGTAATATCATGCCTGATTAAAAGTTCTGAAGAACCTGAAAGCTTGCACTCTCCTCTGAGTTGGTTGGTCCTAATAAAGGTATTACCTAATAATTGATTTTTTAAATTATTTTCTATGGACTGATATGGATATGATTACTTTTCATATTTTGTTCTTCTGCTGAAAAAGGCATATCCAAATTTTAAAAGCCCATAATAACACTAATTGATTATGATTTAATTACAGCTATACCTAGTTCTCATGTGTAGCAATTTTAAGAGTTGGATCATGTCTGTGACTGAACTCTCCTTCTGTCCTGCACTAGCTTAATTTCATTTAGCATCGCTCATCTAAAATGTTTACTTGACCTTGTATATTAAGGAAATGGGAAAGGTTTTATATACTCTCAAATTCCTTCTTTGGTCATTTTCATATTTTTATGTCTTACAGTCAAAATATTTCCCTGAAATAGCTGGGGACTGCACTATTCACTGCCAAAGAGATGGTACTATGCACTTGGAATACAAATTTATCTATATTCAGAGTAATTTTTTCTTGTGATTGTCTCTACCCTAGAGAAGGGTCTTTAATGAATTACATACAAATTGTGTAACATAAGAAGTTAATTTGGTCTTCTGGTTATACAGGCCTCAGCACAGCCCTTGTAGAAAGGGATGATTTCGCATCAGGGACTAGCAGCAGAAGTACTAAACTGATCCATGGTGGAGTGAGATACCTACAGAAGGCCATCATGAACTTGGATTTTGAGCAGGTAATTGGTTATGGTGGCTAGTGTAAACCAAAATAATATGTTGCTTGAGCTAATTAAATTAGTTCTCACATTTATGATTTTTCACACACTATTGGTTTTGAATGCATTATTTGACTGTTTGTGGTAAACCTTGAGCAGACTGTTATATATGCAGAAAATGCATACATAGGAAAAAACATGCACAAGTAATTAAAATTATGGATTTTTTTAATGTTAGCATTTGCTCGAGTAACTGAAATACAATGTGCACATTTTAATAAACTTATACTTTAATAGCACTTCATTTTTATTTATTAAATTTGGATTCCAGTTTTTATTATTAGAAAAAATCCTAAGCCAGGATACAGGTACAGTTTATAATATCTTGAAAACAACTGCAGTAGCAACATATCTTTATATTATCTGTAAAAGTATTTGCATCCTTTTCAAGCAGTGGGTGCCATTGTGCAAACTTCTGTGATGGTACAACTGCCAAAAATATGAAAATGCCTGAAATCTTGGAAGATCATCAAATCTGACAAAACCTCAGCATTTGCAGCCCCAAGATTCTCTATCTCAAAAAGGGTTGATGATCTTGTGACAATTTTTAATGCTTTTCTTGAAAAAAAAAATTGGGTTCCATCGGCACTGTTTAGTGTTCTGAGCACTGTTTCTTAATCCTTGATTTATAGTAAACATCAGTTTCCTTTCCCTCTTCTTACCTACTCACCAAACCAGCCATTTCATAGTGCATTTCCTCATATTAAGACTAAATTCTGCATGCAGAACATTTTTGATATGAATAATTATTTCCTTATATTGGTTCTACAGTCATTCTATACCATTATACCATTTTGATTCTACAGTCATTCTATCCAAGGTGGCACATTGATTTTTATTGAATATGGAGATCACCACTGCTAGGGAAGGCAGAACATTTCTATAACTCTTTAGAGTTTTAAAAACAGAAACAGGGATGCCTTTGGGGCTTTCTCAGCAGTGGTTTATTTTTATAGAAGTATAGAGTTAGAAGGCATCGTTTAGGCCATTGAATCCAACCTCCCTGCTCAGTGCAGGAATTCAAATTAAAGCATCTCAGTTTAAAGCCTGCACACTTCCAGTGAAGAGGAGCTCACCACCTTTCCAGGTAATTGGTTTCACTATCAAACTGCTCTTATTATTAAGAAGGGTTTTTCTTTTCCCCTCTAATATTCAATTGGAATCTTCCTTCCTCTCATTTAAATCCATTCTTCTGTGTCCTGCATTCTGGGACAAGAGAGATTAAATCTGGACCTTCTTTTGAGTGACATGCTTTCATGTATTATATTCCTTCTCAGTTGTCTTTTCTCAAAGCTAACCATACCTAGCTCCTTTATCTTTCTTCGTAGCGCTTAGTTTCAAGTTCCCAAATCAACTTGTTCAAATTTCTTTGATTTGTTCTGAAAGTGTGATAGCCAGACCTGAAAATAGTATAGAAGCTGGGGCTTTACCAGTTTACTTCCCTTAATGTATTAATTATATTTATACTGATGGAACCCAAAATTTAATTTACTCTTTACAGCCATATCACAGTGATGACTCAGATTCATTTGCAATTAACTACTCTTCCAGACCTTTTTCACACACACTCTTTCCAAGTTAGTTGTACCTCATCCTGTAACTGTACTGTACATTGGATTTTTGTTTCCTTGAATAACTTTTTTAGTTGTTTTGGTTAAATTGTATTCTTCCATTTCTCCAACCTATCAAAATAGTTATGAATTTCATTTTTGTCTTAGGGTATTAGCTATGTCATCCAATCTTGATAAGCATTCTGTCCACCTCTTTATCCATGTCATTGACAAAATATTAAAGAGTAGAGGGCATAGGTTTAATCCTTGTGGCATCCCACTCAGTACCTGTGCCCAGTTTGATGAGGAACCATTAATCAGTGCTGACTGAGTACATCTTTTGAACAGCTGTGTTGCCTCTTAATTGTCATGCTCAAATAACTGCTTTTCTAATCAAAATGTCATTGGACATTTTGTCAGAAACTTTTCTGAAGTCAAGATATATTCTATCTACAGCATCCCACAGTTTATTAAGGGAGTTTTGCAGATCTGTACTCAATTATACTCAAGTTAGTCTGGTTTGTTCTTTCTAAATCCCTGCCGACTTCTAATAATTAAGGGTGCTTATAGATTGTCTTTATGATTTGCTCTTTAATCTTTTAAGATAACAATGCCAGAATGGCTGATTTGTAGTTTGCTGGATATTCCCTTTTTCCTTTCTTTAGAAAATTCTAAAGAAGAATTAAGAATTCTTTAGAGAAGAATTTGCTTTTTTGTAGTTATCTGGTATCATGAGTTCTGCAGGATTACTCAGATGACGCATAAAACTTTGGCCAGATGATCAGTTAGTTCCTTATGTATCCTAGGATGAAATTCATCTGGTCCTGGAGATTTAAACTCATTCAAAGACGTATTCCTCTGACCATGTTCCTATCAATTTCAAGCTTTGATTCTGCTTTCAAAATTTCTTGGTGGAGCACTTACTTTTGTTGGGGAAGACTTGCCCAAAATAGATGTTGAGAAACTCCACATTTTCTTCATTTCTTCAGCATTTTGCCATCTTTACTAAGCAGCTGGTGTACCAATTTCTTTTCCTTTTTTTCTTAGACATATCTAGAGAAGCCCTTACTGTTACTCTTGGACATATTTAAAGAGATCCTTTCTGTTATTTATTTTTTAATATCAGCTTATTTTAAAGTTTCACTTTCCTGACCCAAGCTATACAGTTCCAAGCACTTGTTTGCTCCCTTCTTTTCATTTCTTCTGTATGTCCTTTTTTTATTTCAGATCTTCAGCAAACTTTTTCTGCTGTCCTCCATTTTTCCACCTCACTGGATTTTTTGGAAATATGCTTTTAGTGTCTCCTATAGGAACTCCTGTACATCTTGAGCTCTTTTTCCATTACTTTCTTTTCTGTGGAATCCTACTGATGATTGCTCTGAATTTATCAAGATCCACTTTCTTGAAACAAGAACTCCAGCATTATATGGTCACTTTTCACCAATGTTTTTTACTACTACTACTACTACTACTACTACTACTATTGCCTCAGTTTCTCAATTGACTACTATTAAGTCAAGGATCATTGATCCTTTTGTACTTTTTCTACCCTCTGAAGGAGAAAGTTGTTAGCAAGACAAGTCAGGAATTTCCAGGAAAGATCATTCTTGCAAGAATTTGTCTCCCAGTTGATGCTGGGGTAATTGAAGCTTCCCATCACTGCAATTTCATGCCATTTGAAAGATTCCAGTTTGCTTTGGAAGACATTGTCAACATCTTCTCCTTGATTGGGCTGGTGATAGCAGACATCAACAGTGGTATTGTTTTCATGTTTTTATTTCTTCTTCCACTTATTTTAATGCAGTGCTCTTTAGAGCATTACCAAATTCCTTCATTTGGAGTTCATTTGGCACAGGAATGGATATTTTGAATCTAAGTACAATTCCTCCTCCCCTTCTGTTATTTTTGTTCCTTTGGAATACATGATATTCTTCACTTGCTATATCCAGTTATAGGAGTCATTTCACCAGATCTCTGTTATACCAATTAAATCATATTTTTCTTTTCATCTTACTTATTTTCATGCTCTGAGCTTTAGAATATAGTGGGTTGGAACTTTATTAGCCAATGTTCTTTCTGATGTTTCATTGAGTGGTTTAAGAATCTCCATTTCAGCAACATTTCTACTTTCTAGAATGGACAAAACTTCTAACGATTTTTTAATATTTTTAGGTATTAAATTTAAGACTTGAATTTAAGACTTACATTTGTAGCCATCAGTAAGCTGCTTGTGAGGGAATCCACAAAATAACAGCAGATGATTCTTTGGCAATACCACTGAGAGTCAGTTTCGTAAAAAAAATTTTTTTTACTTTTACTTTTTTTAGTATAGAATGGTGAAAGAAGCCCTCCATGAACGTGCCAACTTGCTTGAAATTGCACCTCATTTATCTGCTCCTCTACCTATAATGCTTCCAGTATACAAGTAAGTTCTTCAACATTTATTCTGTTTTATCTGCTTGGCAGGTTATTCTTACATTGTAACCTGTGTCACTGTATATGAATTAAAGTGCTTTTGCTCTGGGTTATTGTTTGTTTTGTTTTGTTTTGTTTTGTTTCATTTTTGCTAGTGCCAAGCCTAATTTTTTACTTTGCAAGAACAAAATATTGCCATTATTTTGCAGAAGTGTAATACGAAATATTTTGAACCATTTGTTTTAATTTGGTATGGCAAATACAAAAAGAATCCTATTGGCATTCTACTGACAGATTGATTACAGTGGCAGAAAACAATGATGTTGCTATACCATAACTGTGCTTGATTTAAATCTTGATTAGCCATCTCAGAACTGAACCTTAATGTGCTTATGTGCATTTATTTATTTATAATGACATCTACTTTCTAGATGTTGAAGCCACTTCTGCATCTCTGTGGTGTATAAAAGAGGGAAAATGACATGCAAATGTATGCATGCTGTTAATTTTCCTGACTTCTCAAATGCCTTGAGAAAGTAAATACACCAGTAGCTTTTTTACTGTATTTAGTCAGACCAGTACTTTGCCTTAAGTTAGTCAATGAGATGTGAAAAGAGGATGTCCAATTAATGTTCCTAAATAATAATAGTAATAATTAAAATAACAGTAATAGTAATAAACGTAATCCTAGGTTCTTGGGAAGAACTTGATGCAAATGAAGGCCAATACCAGCTAAAGAACTGGCAGCTGTGATTTCTTGCTGTTGTGTATAATAATAATAATAATAATAATAATTATTATTATTATTATTATTATTATTATTACTGTTATTGTTATTGTTATTATTATTATTATTTATTAAACTTGTACACTGCCTGACTCTCAACAACTCTGAGCAGCTCACAACAAAGAAATTACAATAAAATCAATAAAAAATAAAAAATAAAGATAATTATGCAAATATATACTCTTTAGTATGTAGAGAAGGGTGTATTTGAGGAGATGTTGCAGGAAGAGAGTATTTAAGTATTTTGTAGCTTATCTATTTGAATTTTGTTCTTTAGAGTGGTACTGAGGGAGGGACATTACCCTGAGAAAATGACTTATCCAAAGTCTTTAAGTGGATTCCTAAACCAAGTGATGTTCTGAGACTTAGTTTCACACATCCCACCACAGTGACTCACAAATAATATACTAAGCAGTGGAAACATCAAGGATTGGAGAGAGAAGTAATGAAACCTGAATAAACATATTGCCTTCAGATGAGGTGGTGTTGCAGTATCCAAGAACAATGTGTTGATGCTACAGTACTTCCAGAACATGTCTGTACAAGTATAGTTGTGGTACATTGTGCTTTCCATTATCTCAGTAGTGTAAAAGTATTGGAGCTTGCTTTGGTCCTCCTACAAATACCTTACAAGAAATGGAATTTTGAAGCACTAATCAGAGTCATTTAAGTAACATTTCTTGTTATCTAAGAAACTGCAAATGCCTGTAGGCTGCTCATTTATATACTGTTGTAATAAACCTGTTAACTAAACATTAGACATAAGTATGCAAATTATCAGTCATAGTTCTCTTTTGCTCAGGCGTGCACAATTTCTATTGCCTTAAGAGCTGTGGCTGGCTTTATATTATACATCAAACATTTTATTCCAAAAGTGAGCAAGGCCAGGTTCAATTTGGAAGGTAGAGGTTCAGTGCCTGGGAAGCACCAGCAGGCATTCGTTGACCCAGCTGCCTTCTTTCCCGGTTCCCCATACTGACCTTTTGCCTTTTGCACCCAGCTGCCGTGGCTGAAGCAGAAGCACCTCCTTTTTAGACCCAGCTTCTCTGGCAAACCTTTCCTGCATGTGGCTCCCTGAGAAGGCTGCTCTGTCTTTGGAGAGCGTCTGGAAAGACAGAGCTGCTCTCCAAAGAGCACATTTTTGGCTGCCTTGCACCCTGCCTTGTGGGGTGGCAAGTGTGGTTCTGGGGCTGCTTGCCACTCCACAAGACAGGGTACAAGGCAGCCAAAAGGGCAGGGATGGGGGTGAGATAGGCAGGTAGGGGGGAGTTGAAGTGCCCCTGTGGTCATAAGTGTGGGCAGGCTGCCGAGCACCCAAATTTTGAGCATATGACCACAGGAGTGCTGCAACAGCCATAACTTTTGGCACAGGTCATAAGACCCTTTGTTCAGTGCCGCTGTAACTTTGAACAGTCACTGAATGAATGGTCATAAGTCAAGGACTACCTGTATATAATTATGTGTGTGTATATACCCTGCTTTTCTTCCCAGAAGCTCAGGATGACTTCAGTAAGAATAACAAAATGAATTTTTAAAAATCTGTAAAATTGAATAAAATACCAGTTGTAATAATTGCATCTCCCTGCATCTTAAGTGGCATCTTTTGGTTGAAACACTGGCTTGCTGAAATAATCTATGATCACTGGAACAGCTTTTCCACACATATCCAAATTTATTCTGATTTTTTAAAATTCTGTTTGAATTTGTAGGTTTGTTTTAAGAGAACTTCCATGACAAAAAAAAGGGGAATTTGTTTGCATGTTTGTGTATTTATTTGTTACCTTCTTTTTTAGGTGGTGGCAACTGCCCTATTACTGGGTGGGAATTAAACTGTATGACCTTGTAGCAGGAAGCCACTGTCTGAAAAGCAGCTATGTGCTTAGCAAATCAAGAGCCTTGGAGCTCTTTCCTATGTTGCAGAAGGACAAACTCGTGGGTGCCATAGTCTACTATGATGGTATGTCCTCTCCTTTCTTGCCAATGTTAAAAGCAGAAACTTAGATCACATTTGTGAATTGAGTCTATTATATTACTGTAGCTACTGTATATTGCAGAGACATGGCCCTTGGGCTCATGCATGTCTCCCTTCTCCCTTTGTATGCCTTTGCACCATCCTCCAAGAATCTTTAAGTACTAACTGCTTCTCTCACTTGCTGCACTGTTTAGGTGACCAGGTAGAAAAAGATGTCTTAGCTGCAGTTAAGTTACATTTTAGCTCCAGTCCTTTCCTTTCCTCTACCTAGCTGTTTTTCTCCAGCCAGCAGAACAGGGTGAGAGAAGATTCATTGTTGTTCCTACTTCTGTTACTTGTGCCACAGCAAGCATGCAGCACAGCCATCTTGAGTCCCTTCCTTCATGCTGAAAACAGGATAGAAGTACTAGATTAGTCCTGTCCCCTTTTGCTTTCAGTGGTTCTGCTCCTATTCATGTGAAAATTCCTGAGAACTTGCCAGAACTAGTAAGTAAGTAGTAAAGAGGTTCAAGTCTTGAAGTCAGGCAGATCTGCTCCTTTTTGATGAATATTGTCTTCCAAATTGACTTCCCTGTGGTTGGTGGATAGATGATGCATTATCATACATGAGAACGTGCCAAATAATTTACTTTGTAAAATCTCTGTTTAGTTCCATTATTCTCTGAGGTTTCCCAGATGTCTCTTTTAGTCTGCCAGCAGAATGCTCCACCTACTGGTAGTTTTTATGACTCAAAAGCCATTTCATTCCTCCCTCAGATTTTCCCAAATGAAAGTTGATTTTTCATTTGCTTCTATGGGCATGTTGCTGTTTCATCACAATGTCAAGGTGTTGCTGCATCCAGAATCATCTTTTACATTTTTTACAACAGAGCTTTTCCCAATTCTACCTGTGAGAAACTTTTTTGGAGTGAACTGTCAGACAAACATAAATACATATGAATAAATACATGAGGTAGGAATGGAAAATACTAGCAGGTTGCTTCATTTATTTTTGTGAAGGGGCAAAGAAGAACATTAAATTTATAGCCTGGGCAACTTAAGGTTGGGGATGGTGGGAAGAACCTATAGTCAGGCCGAAAGGACATTCAACCGTTAACCACTTGGAAGTAGTAAGGACAATAACTGAATGCTCAATGTTCTCTGCAAAATTGATCATTTTAGTGAACCAGCAGACATATGATTATAGCATTATGAATATTAGTATAGATCAGAAAAAGTTAAAGAGATAGCTCAAAAGTTCTTTGTAACCGTAAGAGAATAATACTGATGGGATCTGAATGTTGTATTGAACATGTGCTTGCTATGTGTTGTAGTTTTCTATGACTGCAGTTTTGTAAGTGATTGTAAGTTTATTTCTTTGTCCAATAAGTCTTGAGAAAGAGTGGCTGGCCTTCAGAGAGTTTCTGAAATGAAGACAATAGCTTTTGTTCTAAACTTCCAAGACATCCCATCTACATTTTTGGGCACAAAATAAAATGTTATGTGCACAAAGAATTGGAGGTGAGTCTGCATACATTTTAATAAAGCAACAGAGAAATCAGCCTACCAAACTGTATCTGGAAATACTGGAAGCCAAGAAAATCACTTCTGAGATACTGGAATGCAACTAGTTACACAGCAGGGTACCCATTTAGCTACATTTTTATAGCTCCCTGCCTAAAGGCCAGCCTTAACTGATTTTTTTTTTTTTGTCCTTATGTTAGATGGTTTTCTTTTCTTTTTTATAAGATGATTTATAGGTCTTTTTTTTTCTGCCGGGATGAGAGTGTATTAACTTGCAGATTTTTAAAAATGTTTTTCTGTCTAACCTCCAGCCATAGCCAGTAAACTAGATTTGCACTTTCAGAATGTCTTTCATGAAAGAATTGACACCCAGACGTTCAAGTAGGAAGCCGAGGTTCAGTATCCATCCAGATTCCTTTTGCTACATTCTAGTGCTTCTCTGCCAATAGTTTTGAAGAAGCTTTAGAATGGTGCATGTTAATTATGGGACAAGCGTGAATTGGTTTTGCAGTGAAAAAGCCATACAAGCATTTCATTGTGGACCAAAGAAATTGGAAATTAAATTTGTCCTTTTTTATTTCTTTATTTTTCTTAAAATTTTATACATACACAATTAACGAAACAGTCTTTAAACTTAAAACTTTTTAAAAAATTAGAAAAGGGACAACTCCAAGCAAACTAAAAATAATTTTTTACTTGTAAGCTGCCTAGAGTCACTTATACAGTGAGATGGGCAGTGTATAAATTTGATTAATAAAATAAAATAAAGAAAAATTAATAAAGAAAAAAAATCTACCCTATGTTTATACTTATCAATAGTTACTGGTTTACTAATGAGTATGCTACTATAGTCTGTTCTTCTACATGCTAAACTTATTGAATTGAGTGATCCTGAATATAAGTCCTAAGCTGTGAAGTGGTCTTCTAGTAGAGTGCAGTGATAGTCAGTGAGCAGTAGAACGTGCTACAGCACGAATAATCCGTAGCAGCATTGCCATCATCCAATCCCTAGCCCATATCTAAAGCTACTGTCAGTGGTCTTTTCACATAGTCTGTTGTGCTTCATATACCGTATTTTTCCGACTATAAGACGATACTTTTTTCTAAAATCCTTACCCTAAAAATTGAAGGGC